TTCTTTTTAATTTTTTTTTTATTAATGGATTTAAGGGGCTGGCTAAATCCTGCTCATCCATTGCTGTAGAGTGCAGGACTTTCCGACAATATCTAGTTTAATTGGAATTGGAATCAGATGGTTGAGGTAAATGACTCAGTCCTATCTTATGGAGGGCTCCCAGTTACCTACTTACAGGTCTGCTTTATATATGTATGTGTATATATGTCTATATGTATTTATGATATTATATATATTTATATATGTAGATAAAAATATTATGTATTTGCTTTAAGCTATCCCAGTATAAGAAAATCTGGATTTCCCTACGCTCTTTGTGTCAGTCCACTGACTGTTAAGAAGCAGTCAACAAGCATTTATTAAGTGCTTACTAACGTACCAATCGTTGTGTTAAGTCAGTAGGGACAGAAGAAAAGGCAAAAACACAGCCACCACCCTCAAGGAGCTAATATTCTAATGGGGAAGGAGATAACATAGATATTACTAGGGACATACAAGATAAATACAGAGTAGACGAAATTATTCTTCGGGTGGTATCATGAAGCCTTCTATTAGGCCCCTGAAGAATGAGAGCTTTTCCTCCTCTTGGCAGTGACAAAGCAGTTGGTTTACACTTAGCACTAGAGTCATGTTGCATACTGAGAGGCAGCCTAGCATCCTGGCCAGAATCAGGATGGCCTGGGTTTGAATCCCAAGACATTGACCAACTCTGTGGCCCTACATTTAACTCTTTCCAGCCCCAGTTTCCTCATCTGTAAAATGGGAACAATAAATGTCTGTAATGTTTTAATAATAACAGCAATAAAATTAATTAATTAATTATATATAATTTAACATATGTATGTTATATATAACATATAAATTATATATAAATAGAATTTAATTAACAGAGAATAAAAATTAAGAAATAATAGCTAGCATCTGTATAGCACTTTAGTATTGGTCAAGTACCATGCAAATATCAATGCATTTGAATCTCACAGCAACCCAGGGCAAGGGAGGGTAGATGATATGATTATCCCCATTTTACAGATAAGGAAACTGAGGCACAGAGTAGTTAAGTGTCTTTTCAGGGTCACATAGTAAGTATTTATCTCACAGCATTGTTGTAAGGCTCAAAGGCAATTAATGTTGAAGTGGAGAGTGTTGGGCCTGGAGTCAGGAAGACCTGAGTTCAGAGTTGGCCTCAGACACTTACTAGCTATGACCCTGAGCAAGTCACTTAATCTCAATTTGTCTTAGTTCCCTCAACTATCAAATGAGGGCAGTAATTGTACCTGTCTCCCAGGGTTGTTGTGAGGATCAAATGAGATAATATTTGTAAAGTGGTTAGTATAATACATGTGCATAGTAGGCTCTATGTAAATTCTTATTTCCTCCTTCCCTCCCTCCTGGAAAGCACTTTGCAAACATTAAAGTGCTATATAACTGTCAGTCGTCATCATCATCATCATCATCATCATCATCATCATTGTCATCATCATCATCGTCATCATCATCATCATCATCATCATCATCATCATATCATCATCAATCTTATCTCCTCTACTGGACTCTGAACTCCATGAAGACTTTACTATCTGAACTTACTTATTTTTGTGTTCCTTATGATATCTATGTTGAGGCCATGCACATGAGAGGTGCTTAATTAATATTTCTTGAATGTTGAATGAATTCACATAGAAGATAAATGAGGGGAGGAGTATTCATTTTTTCCAAAGGAATTTTCATCACACCATAGAATTCCCCATAGAATGCCCTGCAATCAGTGATCCCCATTCAGTCAACTAGGATTTACAGAGAGATTCTCAAAGCTGATTGTTTCTGCCCTCCCTTTCCATTGTAACTCTCTACTGGGGAAAACAATTTTATATTCTCTCTCCTGATCCTATAATGGACTTGATAGAACAGTTTTTCCTCCTGTAACTTGGTAATCCCTGCTTTCAAAAATGAGTTCCTTAATTTTTCATCTTTTTTTCATCCTTTCATTCACTCATTTCTTCATTCAACATTGTGATTTCATCTTGTGAGTAAAATTGTGCTAGGCACCAAAGGAAGACAGACCAAGTTGGGTCATACTGAGCTGCTGCCCACTTAGAGCCTACAGCCTTAATAGATGAGATGAGACATGTGCACTAAGAAGTGAGTAGAATGCAGTGCAGTTAGGCTGTGATTCAGCTTGCACAAATTTGATTTACCCACATCTCTTGAGGAACGTAGCTTTAGTGTGAAGGGAGGTCTTACTGTTGGCACACCACAAATTCCCATTCTTTTATTAATGTTCTTGGAGTTGGGGCAGAGGAGCTTATGGCCTCAATCCTGGGGCTAAAGAGGAAAGGTGGGGGTTGGGGTGAGGCAGAAAGGGCCTCTTCTTTACTAAATAAATCTGGGTGGTTCTGCAAATGGCGTCAAGTTGCTGTGCTTTAAAGTTCCAGAGAGCTCTGCTTACATGGTCTCATTTGAGCCTCAAAAAATCTTGTATTCTAGATATTACAGGTATTATTCTAACCTGTTTTATAGGTGAAGAAACTGAGTCTCAGAGAGGTCTAGTGAATTGACTAGAGTTTCACAGGTGGTAATGCTGGAGGCATCATTTAAACCCGTGCCTTTTTTACTTCAGGCCATTAAACTCCTCTTCTGAAGTGTCTAAAGTATGTGAGGGAGGCAGGAACAGATTCAGTCATTGAGATAGGAGAGGGAGAGAATGTGACAGATATTTCAGAGAGAGAAAGGCACATCAAGAACACGCTGCAGTTGTGGAGGTTGGTGTCCTGGGTTCAAAGACTCTTCCTCCCTGACTTTTGTCTCCATTGGAAGGAGGAAAATGTGACATGTGTAGATGCTGTCTCTGTAGGAATGGATTTAATTTGTTTGTTTCTCTTTATTTCTCCTATCTCCATAGCAGCCTTTCTCAGAGGGCCAGTTGGGTCTGGGATTGGTTCCATTCCCAGAGGGTGCCTTCTCGGTGGTCTGTGGTTATGTGTTTTGGGTTTCAGGCTATGTCTGGGTTTAGGTACTTAATGAATGCTTTGGCTAATGGTGGTGCTGAAGGGGGTGAGGAAAGGATGGCTGATTTTGCTGAGGCCATGGGGATATGGGATCTTGATGTCTCAAGTTGGGGTTAGAACTGGAAGATAGTGAACATGGTTTGTCTCTCGCAACCTAGACTGTGACTTTAACCTTGGTCTGATAATTCTTACACTTGAACAGTGTTATGTATATCGTATATAATATGTATATACATGTACATATGTATATGTGTATCTCTGTGTGTGTGTGTATATTTACATTTGCCTCACTTAATCCTTTCAGGTAGGAGGGCAGGTTTATTATCCTCATTTTTAGAAACTTTTATCTTTTTTCAGTTATTTACTTTCTTTCTCTCCCTTCCCCACCCCCCATTGGAAAAAAATATAAACAAAACAAAAGCTTTGTAACAAATATACCTAGTTAGGCAGAACAAATTCCCATACTAGTCATGTCCAAAAATTTATATTCTTGTCTGTGTCTGGGGTCTCATCTTTCTATCAGGAGTTGGGGAGCATGCTTTTATCATTGACCCTCCAGAACCAGGACTGATTGGTTGGTCAGTGACTAACATTTCTCAGAGTTCTTAAATCCTTGAAAATGGTTTGTTGTTACAAAGTTGCTGTTATTGTATGAATTATTCTCCTGGTTCTGCTCATTCCACTCTGTATCAGTTCATACAGATCTTCCCAGGTTTCTCTGAAACTGCCCCTTCATTATTTCTTATAATGCAATAACGTTCCATTATATTTTTATATCATAATATGTTTAGCCACTTTCTAATTTATGGACATCTTCTTAGGTTTTAGTTATTTGTTACTACAAAAAAGCTTCCATAAATGTTTTTGTACATCTTGTTCCTTTTACTTTTTTAAAAATTTATTTGGTTTTTAGGCCAGTACAAGCATCCCTGGATCAAAGGATATTCACAGGTTAGTGACTTTTGGGAATTAGTTCCAAATTGCTTTCCGGATGGACCAATTCATAGTGAATTTATGTGCCCATTTCCCCCTCTCCAATACCTTCAACACTTCATCTTTTGCTCCCTAGTCATGTTTGCCAATCTGATGGCAGGACCTTAGAGTTGCTTTAATTTTCATTTCTGTAATTATCAGTGATTTGGAGCATTTTTTCTTCTGGGTTTCTTTTTTCTGAAAACTGCCCATTCGTATCCTTTGACCATTTTTCAATTGGGGAATGGCTCTTATTCTTTTAATATATGTTGGAAATGAGGCCTCAGTCAGAAAAATTTGCTTCAGGAAATCTTCCTCCCCCCAATAAATATTTCTCCTCCCATTTCAGCTGCATTGGTTTTGTCTGTGCAACCCCTTTTTAATTTTATATAATCAAAATTGTCTATTTTATCTTCTGCGATCTTCTTTAACCCTTGTTTGTTCCTGATCTCTTCCCCTATCCATAGATCAGAAAAGTCACTCCCTTGCTCCTCTGATGTTTATGATGTGACCTTTTATATCTAAGTCATGTATCCATTTGGAATTTATCTTGGTGTTTGGTGTGAGGTGTTGGTCTAAACTTAATTTCTGACAGACTGCTTTCCAGTGTTCCCAGCAATTTTTGTTGAATAGGGAATCCTTCTCCCAGTAGCTGATTTATGTTTCAACTGATGAGGAAAGTGGAGTTTACAAAGGGAAGTGACATCTCCAGGGTGATATGTGTGTGGCAGGGTGAAAAGTTCAAAGCATATTCTTCTAAGAAGTAGAGTTGTCTAATGGAAAGGGACCTAAGCTTGAAATTAGGAGAGTCCTGGCCTTAAATCAGGACGAGTGCTGATACTTAGTAGCTGGGCCAGACACTTAGCCCTTTGTGAGCACATGCCAAGTGTTACACACACAAATTCACCCTCCCCTACACCCACCCACCCCACTCACTGCTTCCCCATTTGCTGGAAGTAGGTATATATTTAGCAAGTATTTATTCAGCATCTGTAATAAAATGTACAAGGTGTTAAGGATACAAAGACAAGCCTGCCCCTAAGGAGCTTCCGTTCTACTAGAAGACATTTGGAAAAACTAGCTTGGGTAGTAGTTTCTGCCCCTTGCAGGTCTAGCTGCATGGGGGTTGACTGGCTGTTCTCCCAGCTGTGGATAGAGGCGTGTGTTCCGGGGGTAGGGACTTTCCCCGGGGGAAGGGTGAGAAAATTTGAGAGCTTTTGTTGTACAAGTTCTGGCCTCTTGCCTTCCCAACTCCTACCACACAGGTGTAGGGGTTGATGATTGCCTGTGATTTGCAGCTGAGTCTGGGGCTCTGGAGAAAGGAAGTTTTAGACTTGAAGACACGCAGTTCATTTTCTTTCTAGCTCTTCCTGCTATGTAGAGGTTGTGTTCCTAGGGCTGACTTAGAACATCCATTTAGAAATACTAAATCAGCTCTCAGAGAGCCAGGGTATGTGGCAATGAGATCTTATTGTTCCAGACAGAGATGAGGGCTTATTAGACAGATGTGTGCCTAGGATAGCCTTGCCAGAGGACACACCAACCCCATCCCTGTTTTCTACTAGTTTTCACCTCAGATTCTATATGATTCCACTTGCCTGGTTGAAATCCTTGATTCCTTGGGTCAGTAGGCAGGTAGCTAGCTGTTTGCAGGGTGATCATATAGTACTGTAAATACAAAAGACTAAATGAAGAAATTCTGTGGTGACCTGCAGGGTGAATGAAGTATGTGCCTAAATCTTCTTCCATTTAGGCACTAGGGAGAAGGACTTAGAAAGAGCAGGGGTAGCTGGTGGACTACCTGGGATCCCCTAGAAGAGGCCATAGATTGAGAGGTGGAAAGGTCCTTAGATTAAGTATGACTCCTCCATCCCCCTTTTACAGATGAGGAAAGTGAAGCCCTGGAGAGTTTAAATGACTTGCCCTGGTAACATAGGTGATAAATTAATGGCAAGATTGGAATTTGAAACTGGGTCCTTGGCCTCCAAGTGTAGCATTCTTGTCATTGGTAACTTGAGAGGCACCTGCCTCAGAGTCGGTATCTGCCACTTTTCAAAGCTCCGTTGCAAAGTTGGCCCTCTTGTCCAGTCTTGCTTGAGGAGAAGATCCTTTGGGAGCTGTGGACCTGGGAGCTGTCTCACCCAGACCCCAGGGGCTCTTAGTTCTGAGCTGTAGCCTGCTTTCCACTTCAGAGTACTTGCCATATTTGAAACAGAGGAATCCTTGCAGGATCCCATCATGGAAGGTATGGAAAGAGGCACCTGGAGGGTTGCTCAAAGCTGTAGAGACAATGAGGGGAAATTCCTTAGGCGCCTCGAGCTAGACTCATGCCCTTTGGTCTACATTTCTGGGAACTTGAGTCTTCTCCCTTTACTTAGGAATAGGTATCTGAGTTCTCTGTTGACTCTGTCAGGTTGATAAAGCCACATAAGTGAATGGCCAATTTGGTCTCTGGCCCTGACAGAGTACTTCCGTGTGTTTTAGTTTCTTCACCTGTAAAATGGGCATAGTAAGAGCACCCACATCACCAATATTTGTAAATCTATTTGCAAATCTTAAAGTGTGATTAAAGCCGCTAGGTGGGAGGAGGCCATGGAAGTGTGCTGAACTTGAAATCAAGAGGGCCCCAGTTCAATTCCTCACTCAGACACTTATTAGCTTGTGTGAACTTGAGAAAGTCACTTAATCTATGTCTGCCTCAGCTTTCTCACCTGTAAAATCGGGATAATAATAAATAATAATAATAATAATAATAATAATAATAATAATAATAATGATATCTACCACCCAGAGTTGTTAAAAGAATCAGATGAGGTAGAGTGTAAAGTTCTTTGCAATCTTTGCAGCACTAAGTAAATTCTGATGATGATGATGATGATGATGATGATGATGATGATGAAGGAGGAGGAAGAAACAAGATCACAAATTAAGGGGATAGAGAGAACTAGCATGCACATGGTCTTCTCTGCACCCTTAAGGGAACTGGACAGTATAAAGGGGCTTCTTGATTTTGTCGTGTTGACCCTGTGGTCTGTCCCGTGGAAACAGCTGAATGCTATTTGTGGGTATGCCCCTCAGTGTGACCTTAGGTGAGTCACTTCTTTTTGGATGTCAGTTTTTGTTTTGTTTTGTTTTGCTTTGTTTTTTGGATCTTAGTTTTGACATCTGTCAAATGAGGAGGCTGAATTAGATGAGCCTTCTAACTTGGACTTTCTGTGAGTCTATGATTCCCAAACTGGGCTCATAATGTGTGGCTTTCTTTGCTCCTGCCCCTTTATCTCTTCCTTCTGTTGGTGACATTGGACTGTTAGGATAAATGGATTTAGAGCTGAAGGGGTTTGTAGAAATCATCAAGTCTGATTCTCCCATTTTACAGTTCAGGAAACTGAGGACCAGGATGTTGAAACTTGCTCAATTAACTAGCAGAGTAGAGATTGGAACCTAGAATGGCCTCTGACTGGATCAGAGGGGAGGAAGCAAAAGAAATAACTAGAGAATCTGTGTAGATACATGTAGATATTTGAGATAAGACTAAATTTCTTAGTGAGGTAAACTACAGGATTTTGACTTATCCAGAATAAAGGTGAGAAAGAGGAGGAAGTGTAAGTGACCAGATATTTTATAAGGAATTTAGTTTATTATTTGCTGGTGGGCACAGCAACGTATAAATAAGGACACTTCCAGGTAGAAGTCTTGCTGGGCCTGCTTTAATGAACAGATAAGATTCATTTGTAATGTGTATACATTGTACTAATGTCCTCGAAAACGATTTGCTTTCTTAAGTAGGTTAAGCATGCCCCCCTGCAATCCTGTTTAATTGGTTTTCTTGGTAGTTTAAAGGAACCATCTACCCAGCCCTGTTCAAGGGATCCCATTCTGGATGAGTAAAGCCAGAATTAGAACTTGTACTTTCTTAAGATGTGGAAGGTAGACTGCCTTAGTGGGCGTGGTGATTGAAATGGAAGCCAGTATACCTCCATGTTCTGGTCTGAGTAGACATCCCACTTGGCCCTGGACAAGAAAGTCTTTATAATGCCAATAATTTTCCTTTTTAGGGAAGTAGAGTTCAAACACAGATGTACTTAAGATGGAGCATGGCAGGCTCCTTAACCATTTTTGTGTCTTGAAACCTTTGGCAGTCTAGTGAAGCCTGTTGATCCCTTCTTAGAATATTGTTAAGTAATTGATGGAAATGTTAAATTTCAGTTAGATGTTAGTAAAAATATAGATGTAATTTTCCTTCCATCTCATAGATTCCCTGAAATCTGTCTGAAGATAAAAGGTTGAGAATTCCTGGTATAGTGGAAAGATACCTGTGCCAGAAGTCAGGAGACCTGGGCTTTGAATTCTGTGCCTGAAACTTACTAGCTGAGTGACCATGGGCAATTCGGGTCACCTCTGTAAGCCTCAGTTGCCTCATCTGTAAAATATGGATAATAATATTTATACAGCCTACCTCACAGGGCTGTTGTAAGGGCCATACGTTGTAAATCTTCAAGCTCTCAGATAATTGTGTCTAAAGGAAGCAATTTGAGCTCTGGAGAGAGATGTGTTATATGAACACAATGCTTTGTTATGGTAATAGCTCACATTTATATGGTGCTTTATGCTTTACAAAGCACTTTCCTTCCTCAGCCAGGTAAGATAGGTAGCATTTCTGTGCTATTAAGCCATCTGAAGCAGGCACCACCAGTCACCCGAGGAGCTGGCCTAGCTCTCTTTGCTTTAGGGAATCCAGTTAAATTCAGTCTCTCTTCTTCCCTCCCTTCTTCCCTCCTTATTTCTCTATCTCTTCTTTCTCTCTTCTCTCCTCTTTCTTTTTCTGTCTCTGTCTCCCTTCTCTCTCTTCATTCTCTTTCTCAGGCCGGCCAAAGCAGGCCTCTCTCTGTTTCTCTCTGTTTGTCTCTGACGGTCTCCGTCTCTGTCTCTGCCCTTCTCTTTGTTTTTCTGTCTCTGTCTCTCCCTTGGTGTGTCTGGTTTATGACTGACATTATCTCTGAAGTCCCTCATTTCTTACAGGGAAGATCCACTTGGTGGGAGTGAAGAAGAGACCTTGACTGTCTGGGAATTTATCACTAGTTGAAGGTGTGAGAGTGATAAGTTTCCAGGCCCTCTGTGATGGACCACCCTGCTTGACATCTTTCCTTCCAGCAAATGACCTTCCCACAGGATCTCCAGGATTGGCCTTGTGTTCCAGCTGGGGGTGGGACCAAGAACCCAGAGATATAGCTTCTCTCCCCTGAGGTCCTTGGGAGAAAGGGACAGGCTGAGTAACAAACAGCATTCTGGTTTCACTGTGCCAGGAGCTCAGAAATCAAACAAGTATTTATTAAGCACTTACTGAGTGCTAGACACTGTTCTGTGCCTGGGGTACAAAGAGAAAAATAAAACCGTTCCTGCCTTCAGAGAGTTTATACTTAACCTGGGGAAACATGGCCACATATAAGCATATATAGAAAATAAATCGTTAGGTGGGAGAGGAAGGAGAATCACCAAAAGCTGGGGATATCAGGAAAGGCTCCAGTAGGATGTGGGGGAGATGCTTACTTGCAGGCTGTTTTGCTTATTGCTAGCATATTGAAATGCACCTACCTCAGGTTGGGACAGATCTGTTGGGAGAAATGAATGATAGAACTTCACTTTGTGGTCTTTGGGTCCGATGGGCCTGAGAGAAAGGGAAGACTGTGGTTTTGCTTTCAGGTATTATAAATAGTATCATAGATTTAGAGTTGGAAAGGACGTTAGAGGCCAGCCCCATTCTTTACAGATGAGGAAACTGAGGCACAGAGTGCTTAAGGAGCCTTTTCAGGGTCTTATAGCTAGTAAGTAATCCTGAGGCATGATTTGAACCTGGGTCTTTTTGGACTCCAAATCCAGTGCCCCATGAGCTATTCTGGATTTGCCTCTCTAGAAAGAGATATGTCTAGCTTTCTCCTGATACTTTGCTTAGAGAGTAGGGAAGGGGGTAAGTTTCAGCAGTAGATTTCCCACCCAGTCAGACCATCCTGGGAATATAGAGACCAGAGGCTGTCTAGCAGTGGTGGTTGATATGGTCTGGTGTCTAGGTCTAGAGTAGGATAGAGGCAATTTTATGTTTTGGGGACTAGATTATGAAATCGCGCCTGCTGTCAGAAAGACATCTTTCCAAATACAAATCTGGCCTCAGACTTATTAGCTGTGTGACCCCCAGACGAGTCACTTAACCCTATTTGCCTCTGTTTCCTCCCCTGTAAAATGATCTGGAGAAGGAAATGGCAAACCACTCCAGTATCTTTGCCAAGAAAACCCCAAATGGGGTCATAAAGAATTAGACACAACCAAAGAATGGCCCAACCGCAGCAATAGTCCCTTGTTGACAGAGACCTTGCAGGAGTCTGAAATAGGCAGGGGGCACTTTCTCATTTCCCGTTGGCAAGTGGGTTTCAATTATGAAAACCCAGACCTTCCTTTGCAACTAGCTGTGCTCCTCTCTCTCCAATTTACGTTTAGTTTAGAAAATATTTATGGACATTTACTGTTTGGAGGTCACTGAGAAGAACCATTAAGATGAATAAGCTTCAATTTCTGTCCTCAAAGAGCTCACTTACCTGGAGGGACAAGACACTCATGAAAAGGTCAGCAACAATCAGTCAATGGTCATTAAGCACCTACTGTGTGCCAGAAACTGTGCTAAGCTCTGGTGACCTATATCTGTCAGGTGGTGTAAGATCAGGTGCACAGAGTTGCTCTTCAGAGCTGTGTGATAACTCTGGCTAAGGAAACAACCAGATTTGCTAGTTGGTAGATGACTCCAGAGGTCATCTAGATCAATCTCCTGATTTTGTGAGGGAGGAAACTGAGTGGCAGAGAGGTGAAATTGCCCAGGGTTCCATAGGGAAGAAGAGGAGGGAAGAGGGGATTTGGCTTGCCCCTGGCAATTCCATGAACAAAGGCTAAGAAATCGTGAGTTGTATTCAAAGGACAAGGAATGGATAAATCTGGCTGGAACGGAGGGTTCAAGGAAGGAGAGAAAGGGGACCATTAAGAATAAAATTCTGTTTTGGCTAAATTTCAGTTGCCATTTCCCCCTTCCCTCCTCACCCCAGGGATCAGGGAGACCCCCCTAAGACTGGTGGATCATGGGCTCTTTGATTAAGAACTACCAGGGACATTAGAGGTCATCTGATCCAGCGCTCCCTCCCTGTGCACCTCTTAGGACCAGAGAGGTTCAGTGACTTACCCAGTGTTGGACAGGTAGTGTCAGACCTAGGATTTAAACCCAGCTGTTCAGGAGGGTGGTCTCGGCTCCATGGTGCAGTGATTTTGAGAGGAGATGGCCCTAGATCACGCAGTGCATTGCTATTTTTTTGTGTATACATTTCTGAAATGGGGAGTTGTGGTGATGATTTTTCTGTTAAAATTTAAAATGGCACTGCTTGAGCTTCACGTGGTGCTCCCCTTTTACTTATTAGGGTATCCATGCTTCACGCCAGGTTTGGGGCAAAGTTGCCTTGTTCAGAGCTGAGTCAGGGAGCAGTAGTGCGTGAAGGGGCTCTTTTAAAGACCTTCTGGTGGCTGCAGAAATCACCCAGTGAGGAGAGCATTGCCCAAAAGGCAGTGGGGTATGATGGAAAGAGCATTGGGCCAGAACTTGGGAGACTTGGCTTCTATTCTTGGCTTTGCTGCTTACCTTGCAATTTCTGCCTAGTAACTACCCCGCTATGAACTTTGGTTTTCTATCTACAAATGGAAATAGTACTACCTGACCAGTCTTTTCCACAAGGCTCTAGGAATAAGTGAGAGGCAATGTGGTGAATTGAGATTAAGAGTCACAAGGCCTGGGGTTGAATCCTAACTCTGCTGGCTACTCACTATCTGTGTGACCTTGGGCAAGTCACTTTCCATCTTGGAGCCCTTATTTTCCTTCTCTCTAAAATAAAGGGACTGTGCAAGATGGTCTGGTGCAGTGAGAAGAGTGCTGAATTTGGGATCAGAGGACTTAGGTTAAAATCTCACCTGTCTCTTACTAGTTGTATAACCTTGGGTGAATCATTTAATCTCTGGTGTCAGTTTCTTCTTCTGTAAAATGAGGGACTTATACTAGATGGCCTCTAAGACCTCTTCTAGTTCTAAATCCATGATCCTGTGATCCCAAAGATAACTTTTTACTCCTTAATTCTAGCCGGGTTGAGATCCTGATTCTGCCTTTTACTACTTGTATATTGACTTTAGCAAGTCACAACCTCTCAAGGCCTCAGTTTCATCTTTATATAAAGTGAGGGCATCGGACGGGTTGGGGTTTCTTCTGGCTCTGTGATTCTGGGAGATAGTGTGTGTGTGAAACTACTTGGTAAACTCTAAAGAGCTGTAGGTCTGGAGAATGCTAGCTAGGGTGACGTGATGGTGATGGTGATGACGATGACCTAGTGACGAAGGAAGGGCTAGTAACTCAGCTCATTTCTCATGGCCCCAAGAGGCCGTGATTTGGCCAGCCTCTGTCCTTGTCCAGATCTCTGCTCAGCAACGTCCAATTGTAGGAACCCCTGGGAGGGAAGGAGCTTTCTCTTAGCACCTTCCTGGGTCCATTTTGGTCAGCAAATTCTTTTCATGAAGGGATGTCTAGTTTTTCTTTGGGGATCTGGGTGCTGAGGCTTCTGTCAAAACAGCTCCCCTTCCCCAGCCTTTCTACCTCCCCACTACAGCTCAGGAATCACTTTGCTCAGACTTCAGCTGCTTACCTAATTCTTTGTCCCAAAACTTGGGTAGGGCATCTCTCCTAAATCTCAGTGTCTGTTAATTAGCCTAAGGAGAGGGGAAAGAGTGAAGGGGTGAAAATTAGGGTGGTACCTCCAGAATTGATAAATTCTCCTCTTGTGAGGGCACAGCCTGGGGAGAAAGAGAGACAAAAATAAACAAACAAAAACCAACCCCCAAAACACACACACACACACAAAAGCCCGAGGTCTTATCTGTGCCTCTCAAGCCCTGTTGCAATCTATTTTGTACGGAGTTGAGAAATGCAGATGGTTGCTGATAGTCACTAGGGCATTTCAGCACTCTGGGGTGGCTGGGCTGGTTTAGTTCCTGCCTGGGGTGGAGTGGGACTTTCTCATCAGGATGAGAAACTTGGCCACAGTTCACCGCTGAGTGAAGGTTTCCTGCCTTCTCCTGCCTGGTATACTGATGTGCTGAAGGGGGCCAGAAGAAAAGAGCCAAGCCAAGCCAAGAAAAGAGCGGCAATGAGAATGGCAATAGAAACAGAACAGAGCTGGGGTAGCCTAGAACTCCATAATTCAGGGTTGGGACTGCTTCCTCGAAAGCTAGCCAGGTAACTGTCAGCAGTGCCTTAGTACAAGGCCGACTGTCTGGGGTCTCAGGCCCGTGCTTCTGCCTCCCCACCAGGGGACATTCTCCCCTTCCCCTTTCTTGTATCCTCTTCTTAGGAGGGTTTAGAGATGGTTTTCATCTGTTTTGTTTGAGAAAATCAGGCATACCTCATGCTGTTCCCAAGGGAGTGCTTATGGAAGAAATGGTGAATATGACCATTTGTATGGCTGGAACACTTAATGCTAGAGGCTCTGATTTCTTTGGTGGAAGAAGTGCTGGTATGATAGGACCAAGTGAGTTGGTGGTTCACAGATTTGAAACTGGAAAGGACGCAAGATGCCATTTAGTTCAACTGACTAGGCCTAAAGGGAAAAGTTACTTCCCTTCTCTGGGCTTCTGTTTCCTCACCTATAAAACTAAGTGTTTGGACCAGATGGCCTCCGATGTCCCTTCCAACTCAAGATCTGTGATCCCTTGATCCTAAGGCACTTGCCCAAGGTCACACAAGTGATACATAGAAGAGTGGATATTTGAAAATAATTTTTTTCTGGCTCCAAATCCTGTTCTCCTTCCACTATGCAGAGAATCGTGTTAAGAAGGGTGCACAGTGTTTTTCTTCTGGCATTAGTAGAAGTGAGGGAGAGCCAGAGTAAACCTATAATATCTATCTCTTTCTTGTGGCAGAGTGAAAATTGTCCTAAATGATGCTGTTTGTCTGCAGTGTGCTCCCAGTGTCTGAGCCCCTCTTCTCCATGTTGTCTCCAAGCACAAGATAGAGATCATTCTGTCACCCCTTGTCTTTGCCGAATATGGCCTACGTTCATGGGCCATCTTGGGCCCTTCCTCTCCATGATTACGTGGGGATGATGCACATAGTGGCATCCTCTCGTCTTTCTGAGTGTCATTCTCATTTAAGCGTCTTTGCCTTTCTTTGCTCACGTTGGTTGTCTCTGCCCAAAACACAGCTTGCAAGCTTCCTCGAATAGAGTGCAAGATTTGGAATCAGAGGGACATGGGTTCTAATACCAGCTCTGCTCCCACCACTATGTGACCTTGGGCCCCTGTGTACCTCTCTTTCTTCCTTTGTAGAGTGAGGAGATTGGGTTAGATGGTTTCTGAGGTCCTTTGCATGGCTAGATGTATGATCCTATGGCCTTTCCCTTTTGCTTCTTGTGTAGACAAAGCTTGCCCACCTTCATGGCTCAGCTCAGGGACTATGCCCATCAAGAGCCTCCAGCCCACAATGACATGCTACTTCTGTAAAATCCTAAAATGCTTAATGCCTGTATCTCACAGTCTTCCACTTGAATTTAGACTGTCTTGTAGTAATTTTTTTTGTGTGTGTTTTGCCTCCTCATGAGCTTTGATTCAGGTCAGGATCTGTCTCTCCACCCCCCCCCCCCACACACACTCAGAGTGTCTAATCAGAAACTCACAAGCTTAGGAGTGTGAGTTGGGGCAGTAGTCCAGAGTGGGGTCTTAGACTGGGCTGGGAGCAGGGTGTGCCTGGTGCGCTTTCGGCATGCCGTCCAGTGAGTCCCAGCCATCTCTGCATCCCTGCTTTGCTGTTCACTCCCTGTCTGATCCAGAGAAAGTCATTTGAACTCTGAAAACCTCAGTTTTGCTCTTCTGTGAAACCAAGGGCCTGGGGTAGATGATACTTAAAGTTCCCTCTAGCCCTAAATCCTGGGATCCTGCTATGTGATCACTGAGTTATTTCTGGAGTGAGTGAGCTGGGATCAGACCCAGGAGAAGACTTCTCATGCCAGGTAATCCCATCCCTCCTTGGCACCCTGCAGCCAGGCTTTCTGCCTGATTGCCCAGTGGTAGGCTCCTGAGTTAGGGACAGACAGCTCCCAGACCACCCTGTCCGCTTGCCCTTCCCCTGCTTTGGCTTAGATTTTCTGAGAATTCTGAATGGATTAGTACCTGACCCATAAGGAAGGCAAACCCATGGGTCTTGGGAGATGTGTTTATGGCAGTTGGCAGCACCACTTTGTTCTAATAGGAATTCCACCTCTTCTCCACTCTCTTACCGGCCCCCCCCATTCCCCTCCCCTCCTTTCATCTTTCCTTCTCTTCTGGCCTGTGACTGCAGGAATAGGCAGCTCCCCTCTGCATTAGAGAAGAAAAAAAGCAGCCTTTGGGGCAGGTCTGGGCTGGGAGAACAGCACTCCTGTACTGGTTTAGGGTGGGGGTGGAGGTGTGGAGGGGGAAGTGAGGGGAGCTGGTAAAATGTGGTCCTGCAGGTCTCCACTGGGGTGTGTGTGTGTGCTCTGGGTGGGGGGAGGAGGAGGAGAAGGAGGAGGAGAAAACCCTTTGGCTAAGGAATTCGCTGCTGTCTCAATCAGAAGGAATAGAAAGGGCCACAGAGTCCAGAAGAACGGGACAGAAGAGAGGAGAAGGGGACCGAAGCTCATTGAGCCAAGCTCCAGGCACCTGGGGCCCTTCTAGTTTAAACAAGAGTGAGCTCCTGGAACAAATATGATCTTATCCTTAAATGATATGTGTGTGTGTGTGTGTGTGTGTGTGTGTGTGTGTTACATTCCTCCCCAACTTATTTCTTGGGGCACTAATAAGCATGCTCACCAATTTTTTCCAAGTCTTTACTGAGTGCCTACTGTGTGCCCAGAAGTAGAAAACCCACTCCCTCTGTTCAGTACTCTATCAGTCCAGGTGAGAGGATAAAATTCAGGTGTATGAAATAGTCGTGGACCATTATACCATAGAATCTCAACAATAAAAAGGCTCAGAAAGGACCAATGACCTGCCCAGAGCCACATAGTGAATTGGTGTTCAAAGTAAAGTCTCCTGACTCTGAGCCCATGCTTTTAGCAAAAGCAGGACTATATCCCTTAGTTTCCCAGAGTTCTCCCATCCATAAAATGGGAATAATCTAGACCTCCCATTAGTATTGTTATTGTGAGACCTAATTAGTGTTTGTAAAGTGCTTTGAGAGCCTTTGATGAGATGACCTCTGGGCATATTATATTTTGGAGCGTGTTATGTGATAATTATATGGTCATAACAAGCTAATTAATCACCCCAGGTGTGTAGCATCCATCTCCCTTGCCTGCCTG